CCCACTGCTGCAGGCTCCAGGCCCGCTGGGATGTACTGTCTTCCCTGCAGGATGGATGGCAGGTGTACTGCAGGTATTTAGGGGACAGAGAGAGCATTTGCTGCATCTGGATCCCATGCTCTAGTACAAGCTTGGGTCTGGGAGCCACCTATGCTACAGACATGGCCTCTGGCCAGTGCTTCCTGCAGCAGGCACCGAGGATGGGGGACCACCATGGACTGGGAACCCACCACCCAGCCCTGGAGCAGAGCCCTGCAGCCAGGAGTGAGCAGTGAAGCAGGTAGGTTTGTTCCTGCTCCCCAGCCCCTGCCCTCCCTGGCTCCAAGGAGGGAGCAGGCTGCAGCACCTCAGTGTCACCAGCAGGAAGGACCAGCCTCCGAACAGAACAACCACTGGGACAAGACAAGACGGAAGTGCCAAAACATGCACACTCATACAGGGACACGCACACACGTACGTGGGGTGGGAGAGCAGGTGAGACACACACTTACTGGAACTGCTCTCGCTGTCACTGGTGTTTGATGTCACGCCCTCTGCAAAGCAACCAGAGAGATCCCCTTCAGAAGGAGCATGGGTGGGAGGCATGGGGGCATCCTGGCTGTCACCAGCACTACTGACCCAAGCCAGGGCAGCACTAGCCACCCAAAAAATCTGTATCCCAGCACCCACTGGGACGAGACTGAGTTGCATGGGCAAGGGCGGCATCTTTCACCCTTTGCTGGGAAACCAGGGACATGCAGAGGGATGCTTGGCTACTCTGGGAGAAGGTAGGGATGCCAGGGGGGTCGGCCTGGCAGGTGTGGGCAGATGTGAGGGCTTCCCAGGCTGAGGGAAGGTGGAGTGCATGGGGACGAGGATGCTGGCAGGGGGAGAAGGTGCAGCATGCACACAGTGGGCAGGGGAGGGCACGGCTCCACGCCGGCACAGGGATGGGGGAGCCTACCTCTGGGGACAGGGCTGGGATGCACAGAGACAAGACAGTGACAGAACGGGACAGAATTTGGGGCTTTGCTTGCTCAGGCTGATCCTAGTGCTGTGACCACCCCACAGAGGCTTGCTGGCCACTGCCTGCCCCAGTTGGGCTCTGCAGAGCTTGGCAGGGTACTCATGCCCATCTGGGAGGGCCATGGGGCTCCCATCATTGTTTTGCAGCTCTAGGTATGTGGTAACCCAGAGAAAGGAGGGAATGCTTCAAAATACTGTCACTCACTCCCACTCATAGTGGGCCTATTGTGGTCATGGCCACCTCCCACCCACACTGGCAGTGGCTCCAAGTGCTAAAGCAACAAGCCCAGCTAAGAGCAGGAAGAAGAGGATGAGGAGGTACAGCTCATCCTGGGTGCAGCAGGCAGTCCTCAGCTGAGTGCACTTAGAGGGCATGGCCAACACCCCCAAGCAAACTCTCCCATCCCACCCCACGTGCAGCACTGGCACCTCAAGCCCCACAGCCTCCACCGGCAGATGTGGGTTCCCTGGCAGTGGAGCAGCACCCGTGGAGCTCCTCCTGCCCCACACCCAGAGAAGCACAGCTGCCCCTGGCCACAGCCAGGCCACTCCCCAGGCACCACCAGCCACAGAAAGGGAACAATGTGCATTGGAATTCAACTTACTCAGGTTCTTTGCTCCATAATAATCGTCACTTAACCCAGGGAAGTCCTGATTTCACAGACAGCAAGAAAGGGGAAAGGGGGAGAGAAGAGAGCGCAGGAGAGGGGAGTCAGAGGGATGGAGGAGACAGAGCCAGACCAGCATTAGTGACAGGAGTGCAGAACAGCCCAGAGCTGCAACTGCAAGTGAGGTTAAATGTTTTCAGAGCTGATGCCATCAGCCCACGGCCAATGTCTTGCCTTGTGCAGCTGCACCCCCCCACCGAGCTCACCCTCTCTGCCAGAGCCCCCAAGGGCCACCCTGGGTTTGGGGAGGGCAGGGCAGCCACGGCAACACTGAGCAGTTGCAGCCCCAAGCTGCGGACATAGGGGGCTGAGGGGCTTCGTCCACTGGCAGGGCACAGTGGCTCTGTACTTCCCCAGCACAGCCTGGGCACACTGGGGCCAGGCACAGCACAGCCAGTCCTCGAACACCTGGCAGGGGGATATATTTTCCCCCATCTGTGAGTGTCACCTGCCCACACTGCAGTGCCTGCACGGCCTGTGGAAACGTGGGGCAGGGGGACCCCACTGCAAGCTGGGATGGACAGTGGCAGAGCACAGGCAAGGAGCTGGCTGCGGATCCATGACACAGGCTGGGAAACAGTGTGGCCTGCCCCATCCCCAAGCTGTGTGTCACTTCACTGTAGGGCTGGCAAAAGCAGGGCCCCAACAAGCCCCCAGCTTCAGCATGGAGCCATCTAGAGCCCAGCCATGTCCAGGCACTATGAGATACCCAGACACACAGACATAGCCTTCAGCACAGTCCAGTGGCTTGTGCTGGCTGTTAAGATCACTGGAAGCTAGCACCAGCCTGGCATGGGCAGCACAGGGATGCAGACAGCCTCCAGAACAGCCCTGCAGCAACCTCCTACCTCTGTATCACACCCAAGACAGCTCAGAGGCGAGGGGATGTGCCTGCTACACTGGCACTGGGGCCCAGACAGTGCTCTGCCTTGTCACTTCCTGAGGTGAGCACTGTTGCTTTGTCTGGATGCTCCCGAAGGATGCAGTTTATCATCTAGAAGGTGTGAGGGCTGTGTTTGGTGAGCAGCTCCAGGGCTGCCCGCATCAGGGTTTGGGGCAACAAGCTGAATGTCCTACCTTTTCTGGGAGTCCCTAGGGTGCTGTAGGTGAGACCCCCAATGCCTGCAGCCAGCTACCAAAGATGTGCCTCAATCATGAGTGGGCAGTTGCTCTACCAGTGAGCTCCCCTGTGTCCACACAGTTTATCTGGCTGGAAGGGCTCTCAGGTGGGAATATGGAGCTGCAAGTCACTTCTAGGGGAGATGGAGCTGGGGCCTCCCTAGCCCCTCAGCCCTCACAGGGACAGAAGCTCTGCAGGAGGTAGTTAGCCCCTCGCTTGGAGGGAAGCAGCCCTTGGCAGGCAGAGGGAGGGAGCAGAGCCCACAGCAAAAGTGGGGAGAGCAGGGGGAGGCAGAGCAGGGAGTTAGGTGGGTGTAAAGTTGGATGAAAAGGATGAAGACATTGAACATGAGAGAAAGGAAGAGAGTGCCAGCCTAAAGCTGTTGCTTTAGTTTTGAGTTCTGGTTCCTCCCTAACTGCTGGCCCAACTGTGGAGCACAGACTCCAGCACAGGCAGATGCCAGGATCTCCAGCTACAAGAATGTGCTGGATCTCTCCCCTCAAGGCAGAGGACCTGAGGTTTGCAGGCTTGCCCTCTCTGGCCAGCTGCTACTTACGTTCCTGTCCGCTGCTCTCCTGGGCCAGGTTCTCTTTGCTCTTGTAAAATGGAAACTTTCGAGAGAGGCGAAAACTCTTTTTACGTTTCGTTTTGATCGACTGAAGAACATGGAGATGGAAGGGAGGACAGAAAAAACAATGGTGTTTAACACATGTGGGGGAAAATTAAAATGAAGAGACAATGAGGAGCTGTGTCAGGGCAGTTACCCTCAAATGAAATCATGGAGATTACGTGAAAACTGTAATGCAGGAAAAAAATTAAGCATGGAGAAAAACATGTGGAAGGAATGCTGGGAAGCTGAGGGGGCAATCAGCAGCTCTGCAGGGGTAGCTAGGCCATTCTTCCTTCCTTGTCCACATGCTAAGGTGTGAGGGCAGCTACCTTCATGAGCTGCCTGCAGGCAGCTCCCAGGCACAGGCTGTGGTGGGATGGGCTCTGCTACTCAACCATTCCAACCAGGAGTCCTTCCCCAGAACTTTCACACCATCCTGGGTTTCTCTGCTCAGTCCCTGCACAGCCATGAGGGTTTGTGTCAAGCATATGTGGGTCTGGGGCACCTCCAGTCACACTTCTCTTTGCTTTGGGATTGTTCTGGCTGCCCACAGGGAGCTCTGGCTGCTAGGACTCATCCTGCCCTTGCTAGTTACCAGCTCCAGGTGCCCTGCTGAGCTACATATTGGCACTTACCCTGTTGGACTCAATCATGCCAGTCCTGGCATGGAACTTCACTGTTTTCAATCGTGCTCTCTCCTTCTTTTCCACCCTGATCAGAAGTTAAAGGGAAGAAAGAGTTGTTAGTCCCTTGCATGTGCTCTCCATGCTGCCCATATGGCTCCTCAGGCAGCTCTGGGCACCCTCAGGTGGTTGGCAAAGGGCAGCTCCTTCCCAGGAAGGGACAGATGTGGAGCTGTCTGCTCAGGGTCTGGCCCAGCCCAGTGTCTGCAGAAGCAAGAGAGGGGGCAAGCCAGCCTTCCCGAGAGGGATGGAGGACAGACATGAGGCTGGCTTTGCTGACCTGGGCAGATTGACGGAGGGCACAAAGAACAGTCCACAGTCACTGCTATGACTTTGCTCTCATTTAGAGCCCCAGATTAGCTAATACCAACTCTCCATCCCCACAGGGACTACAGAGGGGCTGAGCAATCCTGTTCTCACCTGAAGTCCCACCCAGCTTTGTAGAACACTTTCCTAGGGAGATCTGCACACAGCCCCAGCATGCAACCGAGGTGCCCTGCATGCTGCACAGCCACAGAGGCACAGGGGGACTGGGACCACAAGGAGATCCCAGCTTGAACAGAGCCCTGAGGGCTACAGGGCTCATGGACATTGGGGAGCTCCAGGAAGCACCATCTGAGACAGCTCCTGCAGACACTCACCTCTTCTTGCTGGGGATGACACCAATCTGCTCACTCTCGCCATGGGGTGTGACAAGCCTGGCCTGCCACCACTCATCATCAGAGGCATTGATGACGTGCAGGATATCTCCGTAGGAGAAGCTGAGCCCCTGGCTGGGCAAGCAACTGTCCCGAGTCCGGTCATAGTCAAACAGGGCTCTGGGGAGGAACAGAGAGGAGTGATGCCTTCTCTGAGCATGGCCAGGCAGCAAGGGCAGCAGCACTGCCGACCTCCTGGGGCACTGCCACCTTCATACCTTAAAGGATTTAAACCCAAACTCTGCCAAAGCGAGTGGTGCTGTTAGCCACCAGCACACCCCTCCGCTGGCAGGCTTGGCACAGACCCTGAAGAGTGCAATGCTGAATAGTGTTGGACCAAAACAACTCACTCCCGACCTCAGCTGCAGGAGGCTTGTTACCCACAGATGCATTGAAGGTGTCTGTGGTTAGCAAGTAGGTGTGGCTCATAGCAGCAGCATGCAGGAGGGCTGCTTGAGCAGGGAGGCTGGACCAGATCACCCACTGTGGCATCTTCCAGCCTAACTGATTCTGTACTCCCCAGCATCCCTCCATGGCTGCAGGGCCAAGGAGCAGGATGGACAACATCAGACCCCACTGCTGGTGGGTGGCTGCACAGGCAGAGACCACCAGGTGCTTTGAGCATGCACTTGATTTACCTACAGAGGCATATTAGTCCAGAGCCTGTGAAACAGGAATGCATCTGAGGGTGTATCTGCTTCCACAACTGATCCTTTTCATGCTCCTAAATACCTCCCCCGTGAACAGTTTATTTAGTTCAAAATTATCTTCAATATTAAACTAGCTAGCCATAGAAAAGATTTTTTTTAACTAGAGGAGCATTAATACTTTTCCTGCACATGCTTAACCGCATGCAGCACTGCAGCTCATACCCAGAAGCTGCTCTCAGTTCTTTCATATGCAACTCATTCTACTAATATCAGATCTCAAACAGTATCTGCTCTGATGCATCAACTTTGCAACAAACCAAGCCAAGGGAAGAGTCACTATAAGTCCCACCGCCAGCAGCACAACCTCTGTGTTTGCTCCTGGGACACTGGCCCCACTAGCTCCCCAGTCCAACACGAGCACAGGCACTGCAAATGCTGGCTGGCTGCTGGTTTAATCCTAACACTAACATGACTTCCTCAACCAGGAGAGATGTCCTCTGCCCTGCTCATTACCCTCTTCACTGTGGGCATTCTGAAAGGGGTCTAAAAGCAAATGGTAAGGGTAAGGGACCATGCGACAGAGCTGGGAGGGCACTTCTGCCAGGGGAGTGCTGGGCTATGAAACCTTTCAGGATACTTAGGACCGGGTCTTGAATGGGGAGGAGAAGAGGGGCTACCCCACAGCTTAAGGGAGAGCTCTTTGGGACAAGCCCCAGTGCATCCAGATACATTCAGCAACCAGGTCAGTTCTCCTTTCTCAGCTTGCTCAGGGCTGGGGCAGCTCTCACGTTTAGTCCCTCTGCGTATCAACACGGCACACCGGAGCCAGCAGCAAAGCCCCGGCGGGTGCTTTGGCAGGACGTAAGCAAGCCTTGCAGGCAGCTCTTTTTTTTTGTGGCTGGCAGGCTGCTGCGAGGCCAGTGCCGCTGGCCAAGGCCCCGGGGAACTGGTCAGGCCGGTTCCCGAAGCGCGGCAGGCTGCGAGGAGCCCTGCC